AACATGAGAGACAATGATATAACAAAAGAAAAAAAAAAAAAGACAGAACAAAGATACACACGGCTACAAAGATTAACCATGGACATAGTTTGTGAGTAGCCTCTTCAACTTTGCTATTGTTATTGAAGCGAACACATATATCTCATTTGCTACATCTTCCACTCTTCGGAAACAAGCATATCTCCAACTCTTCTTCAACACTAATGTCCCAATAGCACCCCAAAAGCCAACAGCAAACCCAATTGCTACCACAAAATAAAACCACACTTTTTCTGGATCATTTTCATCTTCACGTTCTCCAGTTTCAGGAACTTGTTGAGAATCATCACCTTGACATTTATTTGGTAGTGGGATTCCACAAAGATGAGGGTTACCAACATAAATGGATGGGTCATTCAACGTCAAGAATTGATTTTCAGTCGGAATTGGCCCTGAAAGGTTATTGTATGACATGTTCAAATGGCTCAACATAGTTACATTCGGCATGCTCTTTGGAATTGAGCTAGAAATTAGTTTGCAAGAGATATCAAATGATTCAAGGGATTTCATATCCCCAATAATCTCTAGAATCTCTCCTTTCAAATGATTGTGTGAAAGGTTCAAGCTGATTAATTTGACAAGGGAGAATAACCCAAGAGGAATTAATCCAACCAAATTGTTATTTGACAAATCAAAGTTAATCTCAAGCTGCAAGATTCTAGTAATGTCAAACTCTCTTCCTTTCATAACTTGTTTCACATGTTGATTAGGCCATTCACTTTCTATGCCAAATTCCCATTCGGTTGAATTCCATATATGTGTATTATTTACTGTCATTCCTGTAAGATTGCCAATGCAATTGGGTATTGAGCCACTTATGTTGTTATTTGCAAGGTCCAAAATCTGCAATGATTGGAGTTGGCATAGATGTAAAGAAATGTTACCATCCAACATATTATCTCGCAACCTCAGAATGTTCAATGTAGGAAAAGTGTTGCTAGTCCATGGGGGTATACTTCCAGAAATGTTATTCTCACCCAAATCTAAAATTCTCAATTCCGTCAATTTTTCCAAATTCAATGGAAGATTCCCTTCAAGATAGTTATTGTTCAAATGCAACCAGAACAATGAAGAAAGCTTGCCGATTGAGATAGGGAAAGCACTAGATAATTTGTTGAATGAAAAATTTATTTATGTCAATTTACCTGTATCTCTCCAATAATTTGGAATTTCACCAGATAAATTGTAACGAGAAAGATCAATGCTTCCTAGATTTACAAGGTGACAAGAGCTTTGAGGGATATTGCCAGTAAAAGAGTTATTTGAGAGATCAAGAAATTCTTGATTTGCAAGTTGACCAAAACTTTGACCAATGTTGCTCGTGAGAGAATTATTTGAAAGATCGAGGACAAGTAGATTTGAAAGTTGACCAAGACTTTGAGGAATGTTACTCATAAGAGAATTACTTGAAAGATTAAGGTCATGTAGATTTGAAAGTTGACAAAGACTTTGAGGAATGTTGCCCATGAGAGAATTACTTGAAAGATCAAGGTGAGATAGATTTGAAAGTTGACCAAGACTTTGAGGAATGTTGCCCATGAGAGAATTACTTGAAAGATCAAGGTAATCTAGATTTGAAAGTTGATCAAGACTTTGAGGAATGTTGCCCATGAGAGAATTACTTGAAAGATCAAGGTAATATAGATTTGAAAGTTGACTAGGACTTTGAGGAATATTGCCCATAAGAGAATTACTTGAAAGATCAAGGTGATCTAGATTTGAAAGTTGACCAAGACTTTGAGGAATGAGGCCACTTAAAGAATTATTTGATAGATAAAGTCTTCCTAGATTTACAAGTTGGCCAAGATTTTGAGGAATGAAGCCGCTTAATAAATTACTTGATAGATCAAGGCTTCTTAGATTTACTAATTGACCAAAACTGTGAGGAATATTGCCACAAAAATAATTATATGAAAGTTCAAAGCGCATTATGTAAAGAACCCTCTACCTCAAGACATTTTAACCCATCACAAAACCTCTACTATGGTAGAAAAGGAAATTGTTAATACGAGCTACCATAGTAGAAGGAAATTTCATATTTTTAGAAATTGACTTTCAAACTCGGGTCAACCCGATAGACGTTGCATGCAACTAAAATAATCCATTTATATTCACTGGGCCTCCGAGGCCTCCGGCCCGGGTAACACATACATCAAAATCAGCCCATCAAAATAGTTTTTCCACCAAGTAAAACACATTCCATAAAGCAATAGCAATGGCCTCCGGCCAACCAAAATAGGGAGATACATTCTATTCAGTTTACAACAAAGCCGGGAAATCAAAGATACCAAAAAGCGGTCCTAAATGTGGCAATATAACTACTACTCATACATATACAAATGCTAGAGGCCTAAAGCTAACCCAGCTCAAGCCTTTGCGTCTCTTCCCGAAGGTGCTCGCCTAGAACCTTCTCCTGAAAACATTGTAAACCACGGGGTGAGACAAAGTCCCAGTAACCAACCTTTCCAATACTAGGTACTACTAAATAGGTGCTCGTGAGGTGTCAAGTGGGGCAATTCACAAATAATACATAATGATAGCCACAACAATTTATGCAAGTGAAATGATGCAATCCCATCAACCAAATCCCTCACTTTGGGGGGATTTTCAGGAGCCGAACCCGGCCTATCCCTCACTATGGGGGACGTAAGGAGCCATAAAGGCCTATCCCTCACTCTGGGGGACGTAATGAGCCCGAAGGCCTATCCCTCACTATGGGGGACGTAAAGAGCCAACCATCATGCATTAATGGAGGCCTTACCACGTGGTAGTAACAGACAAAACTCTCACCAAATTTCCAATTAATGCATCATGCTCAAATCATAATCAAGAGTAATAATCATTTCATAATTAACCCCATTCAGTGGCATATCTTTCACAATTCCACAATTTCATTCATCATAAGTCCAAACCCCACAAGACGCTTTTCCATTTTTATATACAACATATAGTTCGAACACAATTACTAATTGGAGCACAAAACACAAATCTACTCACAATACCACAGAAGCAAGTACTAAGGATTGGAAAGTGGTTACCTCTCGCCTGAGCAAGGAATAACAATCAACAAAGTGGCCCCGCGCACCACCAAGACTCACAACCGGTCTACACAAGCACACAAACATACAACCAACATATATTAGCATTCAAACTAATAATGTGGCCAAAACAACACTTGGGGACACAAAATTCCTATCTCCCATCAAAACTCTACCCAACTCAAGGGGTATAACTATCAAAACAACACTCCAAAGTCCTCAAAGTCTATTAAAACATCAAGTCTCCTTCCAAGCATCAATTATAGTTCAAACCTCAAGGGCCCACTATAGGAATTCAACCTCCAACAACCCATTTGAGCAATTAAGGTTCCAACAACAAATCTAAACCGATTAAACATCCAATTAACCCTCCTTAACATAACCCAATTCACAAAACTCAAAAAATCAATCTCTACATTATCATCCTCAATCCCAAATCATCCAATTTCATAAACCCTAACTCCAAAATTCTAGATTCTTTAAATCCAAGGAAACTACACCGATTAAATACTTAAACTAACCCAATGCAATCAATTAAACCCAAAACAATCGGTCAAAAACCTCAGTTCAATCACAACTTAGAAAATCTAGGGTTTCACCAAAAATCCTCAGAAATTTCCAAGAAATTCCAAGAAAGAAAGAAGATTAGAGGTTAAAATCACTTACTTGAGGTAATGGATCCTTAGAAATGCCTTTCTCAAGCCTCCTCCACGAAACCCTAGTAGAGCTTCTCTCTCCTCCTTCAGATTTTCCAATTTTCGCACATCTGAACCCTCCAGCGATTATATAGAATCGCGACCTTTCGCCGCGGCGAACTCCATCTTCGCCGCGGCGAACTAATCCCGAGAGGGATTACTCGCCTGAAAAACCGACTTCGCCGCGGCGAAAGCTTCCCGAGAGGAAACTCTCACTCGCCCAGAAGAACTTCGCCGCGGCGTGCCCTTACCTTCGCCGCGGCGAAACCTTCCCGAAAGGGAAGCCTCGCTCACCAAAACAACTTCGCCGCGGCGTCCCCAAGACTTCGCCGCGGCCAAACCTTCCCGAGAAGACACTCCCCTCTGAAACCCCCGGTTCGCCGCGGCGAACATACCCTGAGAGGGGTACGTTCACCTATTCCTCCAACCAACCTCAAATCCAACATAAACACCAAGATCAAGATTAAATCACTAATCTATCCTCAAAATCAACCCAAAAGAGGCTATTAAACCCGATAAAAACTTAGGATGTTACACATTAGCTTTTCAAGATGCCCTATCCAAGTTGGTAAATGGCCATTGAGTCAATTCTCACTCAAGTACAGTTCCTCTATGTCATATTTGATGATCTAGATAAATCGGAGTCACCAAATGCCTGTCCTTGAAGATTGCTCTCATGAAAATCTAATCTTTTTAAATGACAAATGTTTTTTACGATTTGTGAGATGGAAATTTCTAGTGTGGCCAGGAATTGATTCATGGAGATATCTAGATGGCGAAGGCTCCTTAACTCTCCCAACCAAGATGGAATTGAACTAAAATTGTTTAGAGAAAGGTCAAGGTATTCAAGGGAAGTCAAGTTTGATAGAGCAATAGGAATGGGTCCACAAAATACATTATATGAAAGATCAAGAGAAACCAGATTCTTAAACTCTCCTAGCCATAATGGCATTGAACTAAGATTGTTGAAATAGAGCTCAAGAGATTCAACAAAAGTCCAATTTTGAAACATATAAAGGATTTGACCATCAATTTCATTCCCACCTAGATTCAAGACCCGAACTCTAGTATTATTTGTAAAATTGAATGGGGGAAGAGGAGTAGACAAGTTGCCAAGTCCACATCCTTTTAATTGGAGTTGTGATAAAGAAGGAAGCATGTGAAGTACCTGGAACAAGTTGTGAGCTTCTCCAAGGTAGACTTCACTAAGATTGAGGTGTTGCAAAGACTAAAGTTTAGAGATCCAACTCATGTCATTGATGTGCAAATCATTCCAACTGAGATCAAGAAACTGCAATGCTGTGAGGTTTCTCCCAAGATTGGTAGGAATCTTCCCTGTGAAATTGGACCCAGCGATAGAAAGATATCTCAACCTCCCCATAGAACCAAGAAAGGTAGGAATCGAGATGGCATTGAAGTTGTTTCCACTCAAATCTAAATAAATCAAATGTTGCAACTCCAATAAAGATGGATCAACACTAGTAGCTTGTAGGGAATAGAAACTGAGATCAAGTTTGAGAACAGGACCAGTAACATTGTGACAAGTGATGCCATCCCATTGGCAACGGTTGGTTTTGGGATTCCAAGAGGAAAGGTTTTTATGTGGATCATCATAAATAGATGCTTTGAACCTGAGAAGAGCTTGTTTCTCTGATTCAATGCATCTTCCACACAAACCTAATGGGGCAATTCCCAACAACAAGAAAAGCAACACAAATCCTAATATGATGTGTCTTCCCATATCGATGAGAAAAGCTCTGGCAAAGCGAATTTTCTATATGGTGAATCTCTATCGAGAAGTGATGTGTGGGGTTCCCTCAATACACACAACTCATATTTATAGATGACTCTTTTTTTTTAACCAAAAAATGTGATAAAAGATAATCATGAGTTGTACACTTTTAAAACAAACTATTCACTTGTGGTTGTCTTCAACTTTTATGTTCAAATTATATATTAAAAGAATTTAAAAGATGAAAAATACGTGGTTAGCATCAAAGTACCGTGAGCACTAACAACAAACTAAAAGCAATTTACTTTCAAATTGCAATGATGCATCAATATGGTTGTTGCATATTCACATTAAATATTGAAATTGTTAAATATAGACTGGTTTAAGCAGGAAATTTAATTTTAAACTATTCAATTGTTTGGTCTATAAAAAATTTTTTTTCAAAAAAAACTATACTTACATGTTTGATCTTTTTATATAATTATAATATCATGCAAAATTTAAAAACAAAACAAAGCCATTGATATAAGCGGCCAAGGATATAGATTTAAAACTGTTTTTGGGTAAAATATAAATTTAAAACTTTAATAGCATAAAATTATTGAAGTTCGCCAATCTTGTCAATTTTATACTTGAACATGTTTCAAACTGAGAACAAATAATTTTGAATGACTACAATTAACAAAATCATTGAATGTCAATCAAATTAGAAGTTCAATAGCTGGACCAGGATGATCATTCTGGGAAAAAATAAAAAATAACATGGGACAAAATATTGTTGGCGAAAAAAATTTATGTGAAAAGAATTATAAAATGTAAAATGTGTCAATTTCTAGATTAATCATGAATGTAACAATTTTGCAAATATTATAAAAGTTAGGAACCTTTCTTGGCGAACGTTTGAACAAAATTTATTGTTGAAAAATGTTAAAAAAACTTAAAATAATTAAATGTAGGAGTTAGTTAGCTAATTTATATAGATTAAAAAAATAAGTTAAATTGATTAGTTGTAATATATTTAGAAAAATTGATTAGTTTTCGTAAAAACCCCTCCTGGTAATGTACTCAACAAAATTAATGTCGAATGGGTTGTTTTAAACATTTCAGCAACACACCATTTCCATCGTTGGTTCATTTTTGTTATGCTCACTCTAATTATATAAGAAGAATTTTTTGAGGATGATACAATCCTATTTATAAGAAATCTTAATAGGATGTCTGAATTAAATATTTTAATAAATATTTTATATTTTTTAAAGTACTTAAATATTTCATTTTAAGTATTTAAAAAATTTAAAATTGCTTGTTTAAATTATAAGGATTATTTTTTAAATGACATGACATATAATAAAAAATATAAAAAGATTGGCATGGCAAAAACCATTAACTTTAACGGTAATTTTAATGATAAGGGATTAATAAACAAAACACTAAATATTAGGGTTCTTAATTTAATTTTTTAAATATAAAGGAGGTTATACGCAAATGACCTAAAATTAAGGGAAGTTCTATATATTTTAGCCATTGTTTTGTGCATAAATGTTCAATGGATTGAGAAAACAATCATGAGAAAAAGAAAATGCTGCGTATCATGTTAGTTGGCTGCATCTCTTTCTCTGTTTTCTTTTTTCTTTTTCTTTTTTCCTTCTTTAATTATAGATCGTGGAATTTTTTTTCTTTTCTTTTTTTTCCCCAACTGGGTTTGCTTTTTCTTGCACTAGGCTATTTTAGTTTGGAGAAATTAATTATTTAGTCATTCTAGGATTCACATAATTCCGGCTCAATTCCAAATATTTAATTTATTAGTGTATCTCAATATATTAAATTTGAGACATTTAATTAATTGGTTCTTTTATTTTATAATTCATATGCAATTCATCCTAAAAAATTATTTGTATAAACTAACCAATTAAATGTCAAAATTTTAAGTAGTCTTAGTTTCAAGGATTGAATGGTAGTTGAGTTGAAACTATATCTCTTTTAGTTACATGTTTAGATAAAAAGAAATAATGTACTTTTTATGATTCTCATAAACTGAGAAAAAATTTAATTTGTGCTTTCCATAAAAAATTTTAAAAAAATAAATAACTTTTCTTTGAAAATCACTTTTTTAAAGCTTTCTGTGGCAGAGAATTAAAACAAACTTAATGAAACGTTCCACCTAATCTTCTAATATCATGTGAAATCATCAAATGACCAGGTCAACCAAACTTTTCGTCAACGTAATTTTTTTTTGGCATATTTTATAGCTACCGACACAATGCTTAGCTTTATTCTTCTCTTCTCTTTTCTTTTTTACCAGAATTTATTCTTCTCTTTTCATGCACGTTCTTGCTTTTTTGAAATATTGATGCTTATGGATACCCTACCTTCAATAATTTCATGGTTGTTAGAAAGAACCAGATCGTCCAGTTCAACTAGTTGAACCAACAACGAGCCTTAGTCTTATATAGAACCTCTTTTTTTGCGCTAATTTTTTATAGAGCAAAATAATGTTATTGTTATGAATATAATAATATCTTTGTGGATGTACATATATCTCTCACCATCTCCTATATCTCCTATAGTCTCTAATATCTCCCATTATCTCTATATCCCTCAATTATCTCATATTATCATGTAATCTGTAGATTCTATCGAATGTGTAAAGCTGTGCCTATAAATAGAGGCCATATATAATGTATTGAGTGCACTTGAATGGAATGAGAAATACTCTCTCTTGTTGATCCTCTCTTCCTCTGTATGATTCTTCTCTATATTTCTTCTTTATTTGTAACACGTTATTAGCACGAAACTCCAACCAAAGTGCGTATGATATACTTTTCTACCCCATCATAATCTTAGAGCATCATCTTTATTATTTTTCTAGAGTATCATTTGCTCTATTCAAATAAAAATACCTCAAGCATCATATATATGGTGTTTCAGAGTATCCGTATTCCTATTCAATTTATCTAGGATAATCTAAGCCATTATGTGGAATTAAAAGGATTATCTACTGTTTTTTTAAACATCGGGTTCTATGGTTATGATTGGAGATTTTCCCCCCTCTATTTCTTATTGACCTGACGTCACTATTTTGATGGAACCCGAAGTTCCAATAGATACTAGCAGTATCCATAAAGATTTACCATCTAAAGTTAAATGGCTAGAAGCCATATAATTTTAAGTTTTCATCTCATTGTAGTTAAATGGCCAGAAGTCATATAACTCAGATTTTTCATTCTTTTCAAATTAAATGGCTAAAAGCCATATGATTTTGATTTTCTATATTATAGCCAGAAGCTATACAAATTGAAGTTTTTATCTTATGGCTAGAAGTCACACATATATATATATGGGGTTAATTCTCTATTTTTTTAAATGACTTGAAACCATATATATTTGATATTTTATCTTATTAAATAACTCGAAGTATTTAGGTATAAATTTTCCATTTTATGGCTAGAAGCAATATATATTTGATTACTGTTATTTTATTAAATGGCTAGAAGCCCTGTAATTTGAATTTTCTATTTTATGGCCAAAAGCCATATATATATATATTTTTTTTATCTTATTAAATGGCTAGTTGCCATATAAATTTGATTTTCTGTCTTACGGCCAGAAGCTATAGATATTTGAATTTTTTTATCTCATTAAAAGGCTAGAAGCGTTATAATTTGTATTTTCTATTTTATGGCCAGAAGCCATATATATATTTAATTTTTCTTTATGTATATATATCATGTTGAATTTTATATTTTATAGCCAGAAGCCATTTATATATATTTAAATTTTCTTTTATCTTATTAAATGGTTTGCATTCATATAATTTTGATTTTCTATCTTATGACTAGAAGTCATAAATATTTAATTTTGTTATTTTATTAATTGGCTTGAGGTCATATAACATCAAAGTTTTATCTTATGGTCAGAAACCATATATCTTTAATTTTTTTAATTTTGAAATTAAATAGCTAGATGCCATGTATCTTTATTTTCTTTATTAAATAGCATGAAGCCATATAGTCTTGATTATGAGAAGGATCATTATATGGTTTGTTTATAAAAGAAAAATTATGACAATTAGAATTATAAATAATGTAGCCCAGAAAACTAATGACTATATAGTGAAGGATGTATTGGCAAAAGAGTCTATCTTTTCTCTTTATTTCATATTACATTTAATTAATTTGAAATTCAAGTTTTATTTTTATCTTATTCTCATATATTTTTGACATTCAATTTGACATTTATTAATATTATAATTTTCTTATTACCAAATGGCCAGCAGCCATTACACTTATGTTATTAAATGACATGAAAATAATAACTTATGATGTTTTTAAAACCCTAAAGGCTTATGGTTTAAATATGAAATGACACAAATGATCTTTAAAAATATATATAATTTTCAATATAGAATCTTGAAGACTAATGACTTATAAATAGCCCGGAAGGCTTATGATTCAAATCTTCCTAATTATATAGTTTGATTTTAGTCCTTATGGATTTTTTTTTGCTGAATTTATAAATTTATAAATAAGTTTTGAAACATTACATAATATATACAAATAAATAAAGTTTTTGAATAACAAAATATCGAGAATATATATATTTTGTTTAAAAAAAATACTTCATATTTTTTATAAAAAAAAGGGTATAACAAAAAGTGAAGTATATCATATAGTGAAATAATAATATATTTTAGTTCCTAAAGAACTATATATAACTTTTTTTTTTTGAAGAACTATATGTAATCAAAAAATTGATATAGTTCCAGAAGGACTAATAACAAAAGATTGATATAGTTCGAGAAGAACTAATAGCAAAATGTTGATATAGTTCCTGAAGAACTAGTAACAAAATCGATATAGTTCTTGAATAACTAATATAGTTCCCCCCATTATTTTTGTGGGCAGAAAAAAATTGATAATGAAAAATTATGATCCATAAACATTTATATTAGAATATTTGCTTATCAAATGGTCTTAAGGTGATAGCTTAATTAGATTGAAATCTATTCT